TTCCCTACAGCAAATCCTGTCTCCTCCTTTGCTTTCTCTTTGTCTTGGTTGACCAGATACTCCTTCTATCCCGTGTCTAGACCTCCATTGATGTGCCCAACACAGAGACACCATATACGACCCCCACGCCTTCCGTCATGACCACCACTGTGACTGTGGGGGACAATGTCACCATCCTAGAGGTCAGTGGGAAATATTCGATGGAGTGGGGCTGGCGGTGGAAGGCGGGGTCAGGGCAAACTCTGGTCTGTTCTTATGTCTTCAGAGGGGCCTGGACTCTGCACTGGGGACCCCGGAGAATGAGACAGCTGGTGAGGGTGAAGGAGGTAGCTCCAGCATGGGTCCTGACTTCAGGGCAGCAGAACAGCCGACGAGGACCGAGTTCCAGATCTTTCCAGTGAGTCTGGGGTGGGGGTGTTGGTGGAGGAAGGGAGTCCTACCCGGAGCCATGTGGAGCCACGTGGGTGCGTGTGCGTGCCCAAAATCCCGAGAAAAGAATGGAGAAGGGACTACGGCATGGCCATCCCCGCCAGGGGTGATTTCTCGCTTTCTGTCTCTCTGTCTCTCTCTGTTTGTCTGGCGAGCCCTCCCCCACAGGAAAAAAAAAAAAAAAAACCTCTTAAAAAAAAAAGCTCCCTCTACCTGCTGAATAGCATATGGACAGGAGGGGGCGCCAGAGAGCCAGCAGGGAAGCCAATAAGCAAGAGAGACGCAAAGTGGACCGATTGGAAACATGGTTTCTTTTATTTTCACGTTTTAATGAATTCTATATTTACTTTTGTTTATTATTATTATCTTTATTATTTTGATTCACCAGAGGGAGACACAGAGAGAGGGAAAGTGAGAAAGCAAACAGCCAGGCCCGGGACTCAAACTGCATTTCACCATACGGGAGTCCAACACCTTAACAACTGCACCACTTGCTGGCCCCCAAACGTCTTTTATTTCGGTTTTGCTGCTGTGGGTGGAGAAAGTTACCAGCATAGGCGAACTACTGAGTAAGAGGGGGACTCCTACAGAGGAAAGCCAGGCTCTTTTGGCAACACCTATTTGGCATCCAAATTAGAGACTTCGAATAGGCAATTGGGGGCCAGCAGGTGGTGTGGAAGTTAAGGTGCTGGATCTCAGCCATCATGGCTGACCGTGCGGTTCGAGTCTTGGGCCCGGCGGCTTGAAAAATCACACTGAGCACATGTGTGTGCATGCCCAAAACCCCAAGAAGAGAGTGGAGGAGAAGGGATTGCTGTGTGGCCATTCCCCCCAGGAGTGATTTCTCGCTTTCTCTCCCTCTCCCCGTCTCTGATGAAAGTGTGCACACTATGGCAAAACAAAAGCAAAACAAAAAACACAAAAACAAATGGCCAATCGATTAGAAGATTCTGGAGTTCAGGAGAGATGGATAAAGACTTGGGGCTTACCAATAAAGAGCTGGTATCTTGGGGCTGGCAGGTGGCATGGTGGCTAGGGTGCTGGCCTCTCACATGGCTGACTATAGTTCAAGTCCCGGACCTGGTGGCTTGCTTTCTCACTTTCCCTCTCTCTCTCTGTCTCTCTGTCTCTCTCTCTCTCTCTCTCTGCCTCTTTCTGGTAAAATTAAGATAAATGAATGAATAAATAAAATAAAATGAATAATTCTTTAAAAATAAATAGGTGAGGGGGAACCAGCAGTTAGCGTAATGGCTATGTCGCTGGACTCCCACGTAGTCGACTGCAGTTCGCGTCCCGGACCCGGTGGCTTAAAACTCACGCCGGGTGCGTGTGCGTGCGTGCCCAAGATCCCGAGAGGAGAATGGAGGAGAAGGGATTGCGGCGTGACCATCCCCCCTGGGGGGTGATTTCTCGCTTTCTGTCTCTATGTCTCTCTCTGTCTGTCTGGAGAGCGCATGCACCCTACTATAGCGAAAAAAACTCTCCAAATAAATAAATAAATAAATAAATAAATAGGTGAGGGACCAGCAGGTGGCATGGTAGTTAAGGTGCTGAACATTCCCACGTAGCCGACCACGATTCAAGTCCTGGACTTGGTGGTTTGCTTTCTCTCTCTCTCTCTCTGGTCAAATTAAGATAAATGAATGAATAAATGAAATTAAATAAAATAATTTAAAAAAACAAATAGGTGAAAAAACGACAATATAAGGGAACTTCAAAAAGTTCATGGAACATGGAATTATGTGTGAACTGATTTTACTGCAAAAAACGTTTGAAATCTATGCATAGGTTTTTCATGGTATGCATTTTTCTATGAACTTTTTGAAGATCTCTAATACAATAAAAAATATGCAATTGGGGCTGGCAAGTGTGGTGGTTTGGGTGCTGGACTCCCACATAGACAATTGTGGTTCGAGTCCCACACCTAGTGGCTTGCTTTCTTACTTTCTCTCTCTCTCTCT